TCTTCATATTCTTGGCATGGGCACTTTTGTCTTGACCTTCAGATCTTAGTTTAACTATCACTTTGTCATAGAGGTTCTTAATTCTCCACATAGCATTTTTTTTTTTTTGTACCAGGAATTGGACTCAGAGGCACTTGACCTCTGAGCCACATCACCAACCCTATTTTGTATTTTATTTAGAGATAGGGTCTCATGGAGTTGCTTAAACGCCGTTGCTGAGGCTGGCTTTGAACTTGGATCCTCCAGCCTCCTGAGCTGCTGGGATTGCTAGCATGCGCCATTGTGCCTTTCTCCCCATAGAATTTTTTGCTGATTTTATTTTATTTGGTACCAGGTATTAAACCCAGGGGCACTTTACCACTGAGCCACATGCCCAGTCCTTTTATTTTAAGTCAGGTTCTAAGTTGCTTAGGGCCTTGCTAAGTCGCTGAGGCTGGATTTGAACTCATGATCTGCCTGCCTTAGCCTCCTGAGTTGCTGGGATTATAGGTATACATCACCACACCTGGCTACTATTTGATATTTTGATCTCTAAAAAATATTTTCTGTCTTAATTTCTCTCTACTAAAATGTAAGCTCCTTGTGAACCAGAATCTGTCTCTCTCATTTACTGAATCCTTAGCACCTACAAATGAGGCTGGTTCATAGTGGGTGCTCAGTAAAGATTTGTTGGATGCATGAGAGACATTACTCAAATAATTCTTTAGTTGATTTTTCTTCTATCTGTGGGTGAAAATAACATTTGCGCTTCAGGGATGCAACACAAAGCTTCCAACTTGATGGGCTAGTTGGACAGTGGGGTAAGGAGGTGAGATGGCAGGTCAAAGACTGATTGGCAGTTGGAAGTTTATTCTTTAGAGGGAGGGAGAGATCTTGGCAGAAAGCTCCCTTTTCTGTTAATCAAGCAGCCCTTGTTTTGAACGTGCCATGAAACATTAATCTTGGGTCATTTGTTAATGAGAATAAAGTTTTAAAAAGATATATATATATTGCCAGACTGCCAGACTGCAAAGAAAGGAAGGAACCAGGAAACTATGCTCTGGTGAAGCTTGTGAGTTTGGCAGGCAGCCTACCCTTAATCACTACTTAGAGGAGTGAGGAAATTCTGTCCTCGCCCTAGCACTATGGTTGTTATTGCCTTTTTAAGCAACTTGAGAACACCTCCCATAGATTAACTTGGCCTTGGGAGCCTGTTTGTTAGGAACTTGACTTATAGATATTTGTGTAGCTAAATGATATAATGCCTGACATATAATAGGCATTAATAGGGAAGAATTTTCTAGCTTGGATATAACCATTCCTTTCAGGGTGCCCCAGGGAAGGGTAGAGCCTGTCTACATTCTGAAATGTGAGGGTGTGAGGTTTTATAAAAGTAGATAAGGAATGCTGAGCAGGGAGGGCCCCGTGTTGTTCTGTACATCACGTACCACCTGCAAAGCTGTCCTTAGCAGCCCAGGTGTTTCGTGTTCTCTCTTCTATACTCAACCTTTAACCATGAAAGATACTGAGGGGAACAGCCATGGCTAAATGACAGGCAAAATCCTAAATCACAGATTAGGTAGATCCTCTGCCCTTTAGTTCAAAGAGCTGAGGCTCTTGACTAGAATCTTCAGGTCTTTGCAGAGTTTGGAAATGTGTACATTTTATCGATTGACTTGCTTTGTCTGTAAGAAAGTATTACTCCCTGGAATTTATATTTTTCTTCTTCATTCACTTATATATATTCATATATTGAGCACCACCAGTTAAATAACAGGTTTTGCTCTGGGTGCTTGGGATGTAATAGTGAATAGATCCGACAGAGACTCCTGCCCTGTGGACCAAAATTCTACTGGGGAATAGAGACAATAAATAATAAGTATAGCTGGGGATGTGGCTCAAGTGGTAGCGCGCTCGCCTGACATGCGTGTGGCCCAGGTTCGATCCTCAGCACCACTACAAACAAAGATGTTGTGTCCACCGAAAACTAAAAATTAAGTATTAAAAATTTCTCTCTCTCTTAAAAAAAATAATAAGTATAGTATGTAAGTAAATTATAAAGTGATGGCTTTGAAGGATATGAAATTGATAAACCCCTGATAAACCCCCAAGATAGTGTGTGACCCGGGAGGAAGGAAGGAGAGAGAAGACGAAGCTTTGATACTTCCAGTAAATCATTTTTCAATAACATGACAGTGAAACTACACATTGATCTTGTCTCTGGGGCAATACAATGACTCCTGGAGGTCAGATGAGCACTGGACTCTGCACCCTAAACCCTCCATCCTTGCCCCTGTAAACACAAGCATTATACTGTATGTGACAGTAAATCTGATAACCAAGATGGCTACTAGGTTACCAATAGTGTGGGTGGCACATATATAGCATGGACAAAGGGATGACTCATGTCTCAGGCTGAACAAAGCTGGATTGTGAGGGATTTCATTATGCTGCTCAGAATGGTGCACAATTAAAAATTTATGAGTTGTTTATCCCTGGAATTTTCATTTGATATTTTTTGACCTTGGTTGTTCTTAGGTAACTGAAACCACGCACGGAAAGAGAAACTGCAGATGGGGGGGCTACTGTATTTTAATCTTTTTAGTACTATTGTAAATCGAATTGTTTTTTAAATTTTATTTGCAGATTGTTTATTGCTGGTATGTAGAAGCACAATTTTTTAACATGTTGATCTTATTATATTCTACAAGTTGCCGAACTCGTTTATTAATTCTAACAGATGAGTGTGTGCGCACATGCGCGTATGCATGTGTCTGTGTGTGTGTGTGTGTGCATGTACATTATGTAGGATTTTCTACATACAAAATCATGATTTTTTTTTTTAAATAAAGACTTCTTCATTTCTAATCTGGATGCTTTTTATTTCTTTCTCTTGTCTGGCTGCACTGACAGGAACCTCCAGTATAACACTGAATAGAAGCTATAAGAACTGACATGCTTGCATATTCCTGATCACAGGGGAAAGCATTCAGTGTTTCATCATTAAGTATGATGTTAGCTGTAGGTATTTATAGATGACAATTATCACGTTGAGGAAGTTCTCTTTCAAGTTTGTTGAGAATTCTTATTATGATTTAGATTTAGTCAAATCCTTTTTTCTGAATCTATTGACATGGTGATGTGGTTTAATCCTTTACTCTATTAATATGTGAATTGTGTTAATTGATTTTAGGAAGTTAGACCATTTTTGCATTTCTGGGATGAATGACACTGTCAGAGTATATAATCCTTTTTTATGTTGCTGGATTCAGGATCAAACTGACTTTTAATGATATCCTGAGTTCAGAAGAAATTCAGAAATTAGTCAAGCGAAGGATCCCAGAAAGTTCAATAATGTTAAGGATATTTTTTAAAATCCAAGGCCAGATCTGTGGTGCACACCTGTAATCCCAGCTATTTGGGTGGTCTGGGCAGAAGGATTGCAAGTTCCAGGTTAGCCTTACCAACTAAGTTAAGACCCCATCTCAAAATAAAAAACAAAAGGGCTGGGGATGTAACTCAGTGGTAAAGTACCCCTGAGTTCAATATCCATCCCTCCCCACCAAAAACAAGTCAAATATCAAAATCTTTCATTATTAGGACCAATAACCCAAAAGATTCAAACCAATTCTATTGAGTACAATATATGTACTAACACAATGGTATATATATTTTATTATTTATTTTTTGGTGCCAGGGATTGAACCCAGAGGCACTTAACTACTGAGCCACATCTAGCCCTTTTTTGTATTTTATTTAGAGACAGGATCTTGCTGAGTTGCTTAGTGCATTACTTTTTGCTAAGGCTGACTTTGAACTTGTGATCCTCCTGCCTTAGCCTCCTGAGCCGCTGGGATTACAGGCGTGCACCACCACGCTCAGAACAATGTTGTATTATCTTAAAACTATGCATTTTTATTTATTTTTAAACATTTATTTTTTAGAAGTAGTTGGACATAATACCTTTATTTTATTTATTTATTTATATGTGGTGCTGAGGATCGAACTCAGGGCCTTGCACTTGCTAGACGAGTGCTCTACTGCTGAGCCCCAGACCCAGCCTGCATTTTATATATTGTAAAAATATTTTATTCACTTAGATAATTCAGTTCTGGGAGACTTTTTTTTTTTTTTCAGTACTAGGGACTGAACTCAGGGTCACACACGAGCTAGGCAAGTGCTCTAGCACTGAGTTACACCCCAGCCAACTTATTTATTTTCATTACAATGCTGGGGATCAAACCCAGGGTCTCACATGTTAGGCAAGTGCTCTACTACTGAGCTGCATTCATCCCTAGGCACCACTTACTCATTTTTAAATTATGCATTTTGAGATCCTTGTTAATTTTATTTCATCACTACATGTATAGCCTTGCTATGGTTTGTATATGGTTTGTTTCCTAAAGATTCATGCTGTAAGCTTTTGGTCTCTGAGGTAATAAAATTGAGGTGGTACAATCTTAAAGGTGGGTTTGGTGGGGAATGATTAGATCATGAAGGACCCAACTTTGGAATGAACCAATGTCCCCCTCTCAAGAGTAAGTTATTATAAAGTGAGTCTAATCCATGTGTTTGGCACCTTCTGTCTGTGGCTATTTCTCTTCCACTTCCCTACCATGTTTCGACACAGTCACGGGGTGCCCTTAGCAGGATGCTAGTAACATGCTATTTTGATCCTCCAGGTACTAGAATCATGAGACAACTAAACCTCTTTATAAGTTACTCAGCCTCCAATATTTCACTATAGCAACACAAAGGACTATGATAAAGCTCATAAACACTTACAATCTTTCTGAAACACAAAAATTCAGAAAACATTATATACAAACAGAGATATGAAAAATTGTGCTATATATATATATATATATGTAATAAGAATTATAATGCAAAAAAACAGAGTACATGTATGAATATATGAATTGGCATGAACATACTTTACAAAGATATAAAAAATTGTGCTCTATATGTGTAATAAGAATTGTAATGCATTCTGCTGTTGGGTATTTAAAAAATAAAATCAATTAAAAAACTCAGAAAACAAATTTTAATGTTTAGTTCTTGTTTATAACAGTGAACATTATAGATTTATCTCTAGAGTCATCCTGTTTTTTCAAAGTAAGTTTGTAAAGATCTTTCTCTTTTTTACAAGCTAGAAAGTATCCTTCATACAATGAAGATTCAAATTGCCTCTTATCATCATGTCCTGGAACAGCTCTCTGAAAGAATATGATGTCACTTTTTGTCTCATTTATATTATCAGGAGGATGGATTTCCTATAGAGAAAAAGAACACAAAATTAATTAACTTTTTTAGGATATGAGCAATTTGAATATATGCAGTTTATTTAGAAATATACTATTGAACAGAACTAAAATAGTTTTTCTTCTTGAAAGTTAAGAAAAAGAATCTCTAAATATAGAAGTATTTATCTCCTCTCCTTAATTTCTAACCTCCCATTCTTCCTGTCCACTCTGACTCTTTTCCACCATGAATACACATCCACATTCAGACTTCCTGGTTTCCCTATTGTTTGATAGCTTCCTTCTCTCCACTTTCATTAAGTGGAGCCCACATCTGCTCAAGATGAAATGGAGTTCTAGCAAAGACCACACCTTTTGGAGCTAATATCAGTTCCTATCTCCTCCAATCATTCACATCTAAAGATATTGATGATCTCCTCTGTTACAGCTTATAAGGTGTACTCCCACAGCTCTTGCTAATGTAGGAAAATGATCAGAGATGAAATGATTAGATTATGAGAGCTATATACCTAAATAGTGGGTCAATCCATTAGGTAGATTAATAATTTGAATAGACAGGGCTGGAGGTTTGGTTCAGTGGTAGAGCAATTGCTTAGCATGTACAAAGCCCAGGTTCAATCCTAAGAACCATTAAAAAAAAATTGAATGGACTTACTGGGTGGTAACTATAGACAGGTAGGGTGTGGCTAAAGGAAGTAGGTCACTGGAGATATGCCTTTGGAGTTTATATTTTGTCCCTGGTGCTTTGCCTCACCCCCTGCTTTCTATTTACCATGAGCTGAGTAATTTTCCTTAACCATGTACTTCGGCCATGATGTTCTGCCCACTTTGGGCCCAGAGCAGTGGAGCTGGCCAATCATGAACTGAACCTCAAAAACTGTGAGCCAAAATAAACTTTTCTTTCTCTAAGTTATTCTTATTGGGTATTTTGGTTACAGCAACAAAAAGCTGACAAAAACATCCTTCTATAAACCTTGGTAGCTCTAGTGTCTGAGACAATTCTGAGAGAGACAGGATATGCCAAAAATCTCAATTTCTTCTTTCACTGGATCCTAAAACTACAATTTACTATAATTAGATACAATAGTTGTTCTTAAGGCTGGGTCCTGGGTTCTTGTATATCCCTGCTATACTGGCTCAGTCAATAGCCCTTGACTTTTTCTCTGTGAAGCATACTGGTGCAGAGTGGTCTTGAATTTTTATCATGAATATAGCCTACTTGGCTGAGCTGTATGCCCTGAAAGGCACACGTTGATTCCTGTATTTTTTAACCAGAGGACAGGGTCTTGTGAGGAATGGTTAGATTACTTGCAACTATAATCCTGCTGGTCATCTAACTGTAAGTAGTACCCACATTTCCTAGTATTGCACCATGTTTACTATTCAGCATAGACTAGAAAATGTGGGAACTGTCCAAGTTTCTTCCATGTTAATCCTGGAACCAGTAGACATTTTGTACTAAATTTTGACCCCATAGTAGCAAAGATTCTCATCATCGTAGGGCCTGATGAATAAACTTTTAGAATTAAAATAGCATCCATCCACCTTCCTCCTAAGATTCCTTGAAGACTCTGGAGCACTGGTGGAGATGAGTACTTCCAACTTAGTTACCAACAAGTGAGGATCCTGAGTTGATAACAGTAGAAATTAGTTCCGTCGCTGATATCTTCTTTTGCAGCTGTCTACAGCAAACCACAATTTAGGAAGAAACCTTAAATTGTAGGAGTCAATCTGGGACTAAGCTGAAGTCTAATGTATAAGTAAGAAACAATTCTTGGCCAAAGTATCAAAAGCTTTAGTAATATCACAGAGGAAAATGAACTTGTTAGATCAAGCCTAGCATGGAAAATTATAGTTGAAGGTGGGAGTGTGCATAAAATAGGTGATCTCTTTAATCATTTTTCAATGTCACATTTCAGAAGTGAGACAAGAAAATCCTTGGAATTTTCCTGTGTCTTGGTCGTGGCCACTTAAAGTCATCCCAGGGAAAGTGCACGGCAAATTGATAGAGTGACCTTGGAGATCCACAACTTGGAAAGGCTACCTGGTGAAACACATGCTCTAAGGGCCAAAGATCCTTTATATGAGGAGGGATGAATTGGATGCAGGTAAAGTTAAACTGGACCTAACATCAGCTCTTTTGTACACTTCTGATTCCACTGCAAAATCTGGATATATAGGTGAGAAACAGGTACTGATAGTAATTCCTGAAGAAAAGCCCTCTTGGTGTTGTAAATGTTCTTGTGCAAAGAAATTCAGAGCTAATAGCTAACACAGAAAGATGAGCTTAAAATGGCAGCCATTATTATGTCTTATTATCTAGACCCTATTACATGTCTTATTATCTAGACCCTATTCTACAGTAACCTCCTCTAAGATTATTATTAGTGGAGGAAAAGGGATTAAAGAACAGGAGCTAATACTGGTCCTAGCATACTCCTCCCACCTCACCTCTCTTCCCTTCCTCTCCCCTTCCCTTTTTTTCCCCCATCCATCCATTCAATTAATATTTACTGAGTTCCTTCCAGAAATAAATTCCCTAAGAAGCTATTGAAGCTTCAATGTCAGGACTGATCACATGTAAGTTTCTCTTCTAAGGCCCTCTTTTCTTTTTTTTAGTGGTAGGGATTGAACCCAGGGGTGCTTTACCACTGAGCTTTGCCTCTTGTACTTTTTTATTTTTTTAAATTTTGAATCAGAGTCTCATTAAGTTGTGAAGGCAGGCCTGGCACTTGCAATCCTCCTGTCCTGGCGGTCAAGTTGCTGGAATTAAGGTGTGTTCCACAGTGCCAGCAAGGCCTAAGACCCTCATTTAAAAAAAATCCTAAATAAATTGTAGTTTATGCCTCTGTTTTATATTTTATAAATATTTTATACTTTATAAAATATAATTTTATATTTTATTTCTTTAAATGGGTCACGAAAATTGTATAAGCTTCAGGGTCTCCTAAACCTGGATTTGTTCCAATTCCTACTACATTCCAAGCATTACTTTGATCTTAATACCCTAGTCAGTCTCTCTCAACAAGAATTCATGTGAAATTCCGTATTATCTCAGATTCTGAATCTGCCTCTTCAGCTGAAGTAGTTTTCTTCTACCCACAAAGCCTGAGGTTGGCCATTTCTTTCCCTTCCAATTTTCTTGTTCACTTAACTGCTTAATCCTTTCCACTCTGCCCTTCCATTCCAGGCCTCAAATTCCAATATGATAACTAAGCTGCTTCTGGGGTAGGAACTGTAAATTGCCATCTGAAGGGGTTCACTCTAGTAAGAAGGGAATGACTCAGAAATTTGTCTGGAGGCTTTATCTGTTGCACAATCACTGTTCTTACTTGGATTATATTTTAATATAGCTTTTTTTTTTTTTTCTTTCAAGTTGCCCCTTGGCCTCTCCACTGAGGTCACACCTAACTTTTTAAATTGGGAGTGGTGATTCTGACAGTGGTTTTCCTACTCAGAGTCTTTACAACATGTGATTCTCCTTTAAAGAACTGTCAATTTGTCAGCAACCTCTGGCTGCTCTCATTGGGAAGGAATTTTCTGGCGCAGTCTGTAGCTATAGTTAATAGTTGTTTATCTAACAACGATACAGAGAACAGAGAAAAATAATACAGAATAATGGAGAATAATGGAGAAAAAAGTAATGGCCAAAAATATTTTGAATTTGACTTTGAAAAAATCATAGCATTATTTTATAGCTGATCTTATTAATTTTATTCAATTAGATCAATGTTAAAAATAAGATTCATCAACTGAAAACTGAAGGATGTGGCTAAGACTTAGGCTAAGAAGCAAGAACAGAACAATTAGGGATTAAAACATCTTCATCATAGTTTATAAAGTAGCAGATTTCCAGGACAATTAGCTTCAATCTATGCAGCAAGAGTTTATCTAGAAAGTCATATGCTACTATTAAATGAATTTATAATTCATATACTTATTCTATACTACTATTTGTATACAGGTTGGCTATTGAGACATTCAGGTTATGAAACAAGTGTGCCTATTTGTTCTGTGACAGGATCAGAAAAACCATAGTGTTATAGCAAGAGGTTGAAGAGTCTGAAATTTTTTGTTAACTGTCCATCTCAATGGTTCTGTTTCTTGCTCTTTCTGTTCTAGATCAAAGGCTGAACTGAGGATATTTGAGTTTTCTAATTTTGTCCATTAATATGGCTAAAAACAAAGTCAGGCTCAGTCTTACCTTAAAAGAAATATTTTTGTTCTCACAGGAAAGAGTGTAATATTTCTCACACTTCACAGAGATGGCTACAGCCAGACCTCTAGGTTGGCTATCTTTATATATGTATATTTCAAATGTAGTTCGGGGTTCATTACCTGAAATAAACATTAATAGATGAGAATACTAGTTAGAAGAATTTTTTGCATTGATATTTTGGAAATGTAACCAAAGAACAGTTCTTAGACCCACTGCCAATTCTGCACTCTGAGATTTGACCAGAGGGCAAAAGGGGACTACACACAGCTGGCCAGATTCCTTAAACACATTTAAAAGATGTTTGTTGCTGTTGTTGCAGTACTTGGGGTGGAATGAGTGTCTTGTGTTTGCAAGGTAAGCAGTCTATCACTGACCTACATACCAGGCCTCTTTTTTTTCTTTCTTTTTAAATTTATTTCTTACATACATGACAATAGTGGAGTGCATTACATTCACAATTATCCATACTAGGCCTCTTTAAAACACATTTAAATGTATGTACAACACATATGAGACAACTTTTTGAACATGTTAAATATATTCTGAATTCTAAGATTGTTTTTAGCTTTTGAATGCTAATTAGATGATTAAAATATATTTATTAAGGTATAAATTCCATGTTTTTCAAGAATGTACATTCAATACTTCATCCTGGTCCCAAACTCTGATATGTGGAATTTATACCTTAAGAGGCTCAATAAATTTACTCATTTTCTAAGACAATCTTTGAAGTTTTTGGTAGAAGACTGACTCATTTGAAATGCTTGCATGTTAATGTTTAATTTTGAGTTTTAAAGTGTTACCAAATGTTATCAATATTTTCAGCTATAACCAGCAAGGATTAAGGATCCAACTCTATAGAGATCTTATACAGTTAATACAATTAAAATGAAGGGATTGGTGATCGAAATGTAGATGCAGAATGATGTAAACTCCAGCAATGTGTTTATTAGATCAAATTTTTCACGCTAACTCAAAGTGTTTTATAGGAGTAATTATTATTACATCTATGGCTTTTTATATAAGGATTGGGTCTTGTATAGAAATATGTAGGCAGTAAAATGGAATGAGAAGAAATCATTAATTATCTCTGAATTTGAAGATACAAAAAAACATACCTAAAATGTCACAATCAGTCATATCTTCAAACACAGGTTGCTCTCTCCGATCAACAAAGAGAACTTGGTCATTCAAATTTCTTAAGATTGAGAGTCTAAGTTCAATCTTGCCAAAGTAATCTGATTCCAGGTTGTCTACAATATACATTAAATGTTATTAAAATATATTTTTCTAAGTGTATAAATAGACCCTCTGTACACTTCTATTTTCAATATCGATTATAATCTTCTGTTCCAGAAGTGGCTATGATCAAGTTGACTGTTGTTTTTAGCTTGCTTCCAGAGGCTCACTGTTGCCTGTTACTACTCAGAACCACCCTCTGAAATGTTCACTTCAGATATCCACTTTCTGATCAGTTTCCTGTCTTTCTGGTTTGTTTATGCTTTTACTCCAACTACACATATTCTCAGACATCACTAAGTCCTCCAGTCTCCTGACTCTAATATTTCCTTCCTAATCTTCTCTTGTCTTCTCTTCCTTCCCTATGCAGTCAAATCCATTTTGTCTATCTTTTATGTTGGTATTTTACATCTTGAACTCGTTAATCTTTTGACTACAAAACTCCAAGCCTGGCTTCTGAGTGCTGTTGTTGAAGGGACCAGCACCACATTGCATCTTGCAGCCTTGAAGATCAAGGGCCAGAAAGCATCTTCTTTGTTAGAATGAATCATAATAAACAAATTATTTTGTAATTTGTTCTAGTTAGTTATACATGGCAGTAGAATGCCTTTTGACACATTATGCACAAACATTATTTTTATAATCAGAAAAATCTAAAGCTCTTTGATATTGAAAACTCCTCCATCAAAGCCCATCTCATTGTACACCTATAGCCTACTTTCCCTCTTTGAACAGCCAAGCAAGAATTGTCTGTATCATTTCTTTACTTTCCATTTACTCTTTTACTTATTGAAATCTGCCTCTGCTTACATTTCTCTATCAATCTGCTTTCACTACAATCACCAAACTTTCTGCTGCTAAACCTAATTGATGCTTTCTGGTTCAGGGGTAGTGGTGGGAGAAGTAGGCATCATCTTTTCTGCCTTACTCTATATCCCCTTTCAAGTCTAACCCCAAATAATATCTTATTGGTTCTTTCAAGTATTTCCAAAATCCATTTGCAGCTTCTCATTGTCACTCCACACAATTTCGTTTAGAGACTAAAATAACAGTCCCTTAACTGTTATCTTCCTTTTTTTATCCCCCACATCCTCATCCTATACCATCAATTCATTATACTGAAGCTAGAAGGATATTTTAAAAGATTATCCTGTTATCCCTGAATTCTAATGAGGCACATGGCCACCCAGAATAAAAATATATTTTCCAGATTTCTTGCAGTTGGTGTGGCCATGTGTCTTGTCAATGGAATATGAGTGGAATTATGTGTATAGCTTCCAAGTAAAGCCTTTAAAAGGAATGGGCTGGTCTTCCTTTAATGACCTTTCTTGATAACTGGGTTATAGACCCAGGAAGTATGATGATTTTGAATAGTAAGAATGAGTCAAACAACTAGGGGATGATAGAGTAACAGGAAAGAAGAAATTGGAGATTCTAGTGTCATCAGGCTGCATCTAGCCATATACATGAACCACACTCTGAAATGTTCTGAAATTAGTCCTGTGCTTAGTGAATTTCTATTACCCTCAAGACAAGGTCCAAATCCCTTACCCTGGCATAAGAGAATTTCTTAATCTGCACCCTGTTTCTCACTAGCTTCTCTCATTGTTCTCCTCCCACTCTACTCCTATCCCGAATTACCCTTAGTTCCTCATATATGCCATGTTTCCTTTCATATCTTGGCCTTTCAATGTGGTCTGCTTACATTACCCATCCCTAGGTTCTTTTTATTTTTTAAACATTTTATTTTTTTTGGTGTAGTTTGGCACAATACCTATTTTTTATTAATTTATTTTTATATGGTGCTAAGGATCGAACCCAGGGCCTCACATGTGCTAGGCGAGCACTCTGCTGCTGAGCCACAACCCCAGCCCCTCTAGGTTCTTGATTTCCAGAATACTCTTTCCCATGGGAGCTTCCTAGACTTTTCCCCAAAGCACTTCTAAGAAAGGAGGTTTAAGAAGGGAGATACTGATTTTGGACAATTCTCTTACATTGGTCTCCTTTTCCTATTCCCTCCAGACAATCTATGCCTCCCTGATAATCTTAGGACCTGTGTAATAGGTAAGATCTATTTTGTAGCTTCTATTTTCTAACTTCTATTTTCTAACTTCTTTGAGTTAGAAATTTCTAAGGTGTAGGAAGCAAATTTTATAGTGGTTCTTTTCGTATCCCTTATGGTTATCTTCGTTCCGATGCTGTGCTGTTCACTCCACATTTCTTTGAGGAATGATGCCTTCTCAAATAGGTTGGTACCATGTGGACAGTGTCTCCCAGCTGACAAGAGTGATGTGGATGTGCCAAGGCTGAGCCACCTACTTTACAAATAAGGAGAAATATATTTATATTTTACCATCATCTTCAGCTAAAGGAGAGAAAAAGGAGAAAAAAATATGTTAAATTTATATATTTCTACACAGAATTTCCTCTTATCCTAGCCTTTGATGACTCTGTTCTGCTGCTCCCATCTTTAACCTCTGTTTTTCTGGTGGCCTTTGTTGGCCTCCATCAAAAAATATTTTATTATCATCCAAAAGGCTGATAAAATGAAGCTCATTAGACTTAATGTGTTGCTAGATAAGTTAGATTTAAAATTTAAGTTTAGGATTTATAAAGTTCAATACATAACTAAAGAGAAATTTTATAAAGTCATAAGTTTTATTCTTAAATTTATTGCTCAAATGGAAAGTCATGTAAGAATTTTTTATGAAGCTTTCAAATGAAGCTAAACTTTCTATTGAAATCAAATTGCTCATAAAAGAGTAATCATAAGAATGAATTTTTATTCAATACATTTGCATAAGATGGTATAACTCACTTACAAAACTCTATATTCAGGGGATTTCATAATCTACCAATTTGCTTTGGGAAATAGTATTTCCTCCATGTACCCAGTTTTGTGGGACTTGCAGGATGTGTACCTGCTGCCACTTTGAGAGTGGGCTACTACTAATTAAAGTGCTAAGACATGAGCTGGGAACTAGTACTGGGACTTTGGAAGTGTTGTGGTTAATTTCTAGAGATTCAAATTTTTTGAGAGAAGAGAGATCTTAATATTACAATGGAATCTGGTGACAAAAAGTAATTACTTAATAGTTTACCTCACAACCTTTCTAGTTGAATACATTTATCTAAGCCTCAAATATGTTTGTCCTATTGCTTTACGACTAACCTTTGAAGTAAAGTGTATCATCAATAAATGTCATTTCCACAAAGTTGATATAATTATTTTCTGTGGGCGCGGCAGCCATCTTTATTCCTAATGGAAGCAAAGAGTCATCTGTTGTTAAGAGGCAATGATTGTTCTTTTTATATAAAAGGAAACTTTTATTGTTATCTTGATCTACCTGCAAATTTAGAAGTCAGTTTATCACTCAGTATGAGTACCCATGTTTAAACAATCTCTTAAGAATCATCAGATATTTGGAATAGAGAAAGCACTTTTTGATTAAACAATATTATTATGGAAAAATGGCTCATAATTGAACTGAATTAATTGTCCTAGTGTTCATTGGTTAATATAAACATATTATCCTTATAAACATACTGCAAATGTGGATACCAGAAACATAACTAATCCTGTTCTTTAATTAGGGACTTGTTCATTCCTGTCTTATAACAAATGGGTTCCCACAAGTGAGAAGCTAAAGGTTCACAAATTCATTGGCAACGTATTAAAATTGAGGCAATGACAAAAATGGCTTTTCCACCAGAGGGTTGGGGCAGGGGCAGGGAAGGTTGAAAGGCTCTGGCATTTTTTTTTTTTTTTTTAAGATAGAGGAGGAGAGAGAGAGAGAGAATTTTAATATTTATTTTTTAGTTATCGGCGGACACAACATCTTTGTTTTGTATGTGGTGCTAAGGATCGAACCCAGGCCGCACACATGCCAGGCGAGCGCGCTACCGCTTGAGCCACATCCCCAGCCCGGCTCTGGCATTTGATGGCCTTTTTTTTGAGCAGCAGCAGCAGTTTTGAATATGGAGTCTGGATTAGACCATGTTTTTACATAAATAGTACCTAAATATGACCTTTCTGTAAAAATATCAAACAATACAGAATTTGAAAAAATTCTAATTGCTTCTTTTTGCTCTTAACTCTTCCCCACCTTATCCCACTACAATATGGTGTGTATCCTTCCAGTATTTTGTCATGGATTAAGGGTTCTAAGTATAAGAAATCTATAAACTTGAATGGGAAAAATACATATTTATGTTAACCAACTTCTAACTGAAATTTAGCCTTCTTCCAATTATTTGTGCAGGAAACAAACCACAGAATTATCAGTGGCATCTGTGACTGTCACTAATAGAAACACACATTTCCTGTTTCAATTGTTATAGAGATCTTGAAATACGGCTTAAGCTCTATTTTGAAATTACAGAAGTTATTAGTCTTACCAAGAGATCTTGTTTAATGTGTTAAAAATCACATCTATTTTAAATTTTGATTAAATTGTTGTAACTCAGCTTTAATATAATGAGTTTCCTTTGTAAGTCTAAGTATTTATTTATTTATTTATTGGTACCAGGCATTGAACTCAGGGGCACTCTGAAACTTAGCCATATCCCCAGCCCTATTTTGTATTTTATCTAGAGACAGGGTCTTGCTGAGTTGCTTAGCACCTCAGTTTTTCTGAGGCTGGCTTTGAACTTGGGATCCTCCTGCCTCAGCCTCCTGAGTCGCTGGGATTACAGGCGTGTGCCACTGTGCCTGACTCTAAGTATTTAATTTTACAGATGTAAATACATTGTTCTGAGAAAGGGCTACAGGCTTCACTAGCTTGTTAGGAAGTCTGTTACGGCTTTTTCTCCTCTTAATCTATCTATGGCCACTTTATTTAAAAAAACTCAAATACTGAACTTTCAGAGGAAAACTTAGAACTTTCCTACACCAAAAAAAAAAAAAAAAAAAAAAAAAAAAGATCAGGAAGCTTTTCTCTGAAGTTTAGAAGTGCTTTGTGCTCCTGAGGGTGGTTATAGTTGGGGCTCCAAGCAAGGTGGCAAAATTATAGTCATCAATGATTTGTCCCCACCAAAAATCATGTTGAGGCTTAGTCCCCAGTGTGGCAATATTGGGAAGTGGGACCTAATGGAGGCAGAGCACATTGGTGCTTTTCTCATGAGTGAGTTGTTAAAATCAAGTCCTTCATTTGTGTTTTGTCGCTTGCCCTTCTCCTTTTTATTATGAGTTGAAGTGGCATGAAGCCCTGTGGGAAGCCATTCTGACACGTGATTGGGCGGCTCCCGGTTAGGGTCTGAGGCGTTCTGGCTGTGTCGGAATTTTCCCGGCCCTCTCCTGATGAGAGAACCCATTCGTGTGGGGGTGTGCCTGACCACTGATCCCGAGGGCCCAATCACTGACCCTGACCTTGGAGTGCAGTTCCCCCTCAACCTTCATTGGATGGAATTCTCCCCTGAATCTCTTGTTCCCCAATAAAAAGCTACTCCCAGGTGTGTTCGCTCTCTCTCTCTCTCTCTCCTGCTAGCCCTGAGTAATCCTTGCTGCCCTGCTGGGCGGTTAGAGTTGGGAACCAGAGAGGGGAGCCGTCTCGAACCTGGCAATAGAAATAAGGTAACTGAGTCTGTGTGTTTTATTTCGATTTCGCTAACTAACTTTTATGCCAAGAACCTCATTAATGAAACCATTGCGCTGGCCGCATGGTGGAAAGCCCTTGTCAAATGTGGCTACCCAATCTTGAACTTTCCAGTCTCCAGAACTGTGAGCCCAAATAAATTTCTTTTCTTAATAAACTACTTAGTCTCAGGTATACTGTTACAATCATAGAAAACTGACCAAAACAATGGTATATAGGGGAGTACTTATAAATCTGTGCTCATATGTAAAGAACTGACTCAATTTTTTTCTAGAAAATCTGAGGTCAAGCAAGCATATATAGTAGAAGAAACAAGAAATTAAAACTGAGTTGAAAAAACTTAATTCAAATTAAGCTATCCTAAAATACTTTGTTACTTGGTGAGCTTTGAACAATTTCATCTAGGTTCAGTTCTTTACATCCTAATGTGAATAGTTAGTAAATGTATTTTATATAAATAAAATGAAGACAAATCGTTTAGAATTATCAATTAATTTCTTAAAATGGGGGATAAGGGAGATTGAGAAGAAAATAATAAAACAGAGGATAAAAAAGTTTCTGAGATAAATATAAACATTTATTTTTACTAAAAGTAAACAAACTTTAAGATTAAAAAATCAGACCTATAATAGTTAGATTGTGAGCTCCATGAGGGCATTTTCTTTATTCATTTTTATCGATTTATTACTTAACACAGTATTATCAGTGTGAGAATTCATTTTGGCAGACATTTGTTATGCCGGGACTCTATTTTGATTGGTTATAAATGGGTGAAATAATGACTACAGTTGGTCTTTTCTACTTTTAATTTACATATTTATTGAAGTAATTCACTTGAAATGTACTGAGTTACATGAGCAGGAATTGGATTAAATTAACTAATAGTTAGAGAAGGACACAGTCACCTTAAAAATAAGATAGCTATTTTTAACTCCCATAAGAATAAAATAATTACTATAGAATTTTTTTTTCAGTACTGGGAATTGAGCCCAGACATGCTCTACTGCCAAGCTATATCTCTAGCTCCTTTAAAAATTTATTTTATTTTAAATTTTGAGACAGGGTCTTGCTAAGTTGCCCAGGCTGGCCTCAAACTTGAAATCCTTCTTCCTGAGTAGCTGGTGTGTGCCACCATGCCTGGCTCTACTACATAATTTTTAAACTCTTTCATCAGTCAGAGAATATTCACTATGCATCAGGTTTGGGGTCAGAAGCTGATGAAATACCCACATATGAAAATTTGCTCCTGTCCTCCAGTGACCCAGATGCTAGTGAGGGAGACAAATACACAGTTATGAAATAGTTTAATGAACACTGTAAGGGCTGAATTTACAAGAGATCCTCTGTTTGGTGGTATTGGAGAAGACTTCTCAGAGAAAGTGATGACTGTGTGGCCTTAAAGGTGAGGCAGTATTTTCAAGGCCAGGGGAGAGTGTCCACGAAGAAGGACCTTGTAAACAAAGGCTAGCAAGCAGGGATGGTTGTTTGAGGTCTCATCATAAATAATGCAAGTGTAATCACATTCCAGGAAGGATGTGTCTCTGAAGACCTCACATAAGTATGAGATTATTTTTTCCTTGGGAACAAATGTAAAAGCATGGGAAGAGATATTCTTGTAGTGCATGCTGTCACCACCAAAGTGTATACGTTCTTTTTATCTACTTTCCAGGCATGATTACTACTGGTTTATAGAATGCTTTGTCCACACAGCTTGTCATGATGGTAGTTTGACATTTCTTTTTCTTGCATCTAACTTTTGTTCCAACTTAATATTTGGAGATGTTTTTAGAACAAGCAGTAATAATACCACTTAACATGTTGATAAGGTTACCAGATATAAAAATATTTAAACTTGTTATGTTGAAAACATAACACAATAATAATCTGGATTTCTTAAGAACTTTTGAGATATATAAAGAATAGATTAACTTATATGATTTTGATGTGGAGGCAGATAATTTTACGAGGTATAAGAGACACTTCCATGTGTAGTAATGTCATAGTTAACAACTCCCTTGGCTTGCTGGCTAAACTATTTAATTTGAAAGAATTCACATTATTTCCATTTATTATTCCAAGATTATCATTTTTATATTACATTTGTTTGATTTTGCTTGATTCAATTCACAGAAAACAGAACTTGCAGTATAGTTGCCTTGACAAAAATCTGGGAAGGATAGTCAGATTACAAAAGCTTTGTTTAACAAGCTAAAGAGGTTAATTTTTTCTTTTTTTTTCACTTAAAAAAGGACATTTTAAGCAGGAGAAAGACAGTTAAATTGATGACTTAAAAGCTCACTCTGGTAGCATTATGGAGAATGGATTCCATTGGGCAAGTCTAGGACAGAGGCAACTTCAAAAGCAACTTCATTTATTAATTTTTTGTGTTGCTGGGGATTGAATTCAGGAGCTCATGCTTACAGGCAAATGCTCTACCACTGAGCAATATCTGTGGAAGCAATTTTAACAGAAGTTGATGAGGCCATAAACTAAGGTAGTAAATTCAATAGCAGGATTTTTGTTTTGTTTTTTTTTTTTTTGGATTGGTTGTGAGTCAATAGGAAGAGGAGGAACTGAGGATGACTTTAAAGTTTCTGACTGGCAATTTGTTGAGTGATTGACTACCTCATTAGCAATGAAGAGAAAGAATGAAAAACAGCCTAAGTGGAAAAACATTTAGTTCAGTTTTGCAAATCTAAGAGGGATGTGACACATAAGCCAAGGTTCTCAGGAATTTCTAGGAAAGGCTCTTTGAACTCAGAAGCTGCAGAGCCCATAATTTAGATACAAGCTTGAATAAGTTCACTGAATTTGGCAATTGGGAAGTTGTGGTCACTGTAGAACAAATTACACAAACCAACTGGAGGTAGCAGAAGGTAAGTTAGTAAAACCCAGGACAGAATGTGGGGATGGGGGAGAAAGAAAGCTATCCCAAACTACTTTTAGGAAGCAACATAACAAGTTTAGGAGCATGGTAGTTGTTGGAGAATACATAATTCACAAATGTCAAGTTCTAGCTTCCAATCCAATTTGAATGGTAAGATAGCTAATGAATTATCTTCCAAAGCATGTTCAAGTAACTTTTCAAGACCTGGGAGTCAATCTTTTTTTCAAAAATATATTTTTAGTTATAGATGGACATAATACCTTTATTTTGTTTATTTTTATGTGGTGCCAGTTATTGAACCCAGTGCCTCACGCATGCTAGGCAAGCACTCTTAACATTGAGCCACAACCCCAGCCCTGGGAGTCAATCTTGATTCCTTTGTCTAACCTTTTTCTTATCTGATAACATGAGATTCTGATTCAGAAATGTCTCTAAAATTTGGTATCGCCTCTTTATATTGCCAGCACTGTTTTAAATCAAGCCTCAACACTTCTCACATCTTCTATTTTAGTACTTAAGTAAACTTAAGTTTTCTTGCTTTCAGACTTTCCCATATTACATATTATTACCAGAGTAATTCCCCCACCAGGTCAGAATTCCTCTGTTTTGTTCATCCACCAAACTCTTCTTTCCTTCATGCCTTAATATCTCCTCTAGGCAAACCTTCTTTACTCCTCTACTCCTAGCTGGTCATTCTCTATTCAGAGCCCCCTTTCCTCTCTTCCCTGTTCGGGCTTCTGAAATAACTCTTACTACCCTGAATTAACATTACTTTGGTTCCAGGCAGGTTTGCCTAGTTTTAGTCTGAATTTCTTTAGAAAACGGCATTCTTTTCCCCCCAAATCTTCGACACCTGGAAAGAGCTTACAATGTAGTAAGAGTTTTAAATAAATATTAAATGAATAAATATTTGCTTGTTGCCAAGATAATAGTATAAAAATTATTAATAGAATTTCCTTTTTCTTTCTTAAAACCTTTCCTCCACTGCTGGGCGTGGTGGCACAGGTCTGTAATCCCAGCAGTTATAGAAGTTGAGGCAGGAGGATCACAAATTTGAGACCAGCTTCAGCAACTTAGCAAGACCCTGTGCAGCTCAGTGGTAGAGCACCCCTGAGTTCTATCCTCAGTACTGGAAAAAAACAAACAAACAAAAACAAAACCAAAAACAACCTTTTCCTCTGTCTAAAAGCCAAGGAGAAAGAGAAAGAAAATGAGGGAAGATAATAAATTTAAAAAAAATTAGAATGACTTTTAAAAATATCCTCTTCCTTCTTTTTTTCCTTGATAGTTTCTTTTTCATTTCTTGTGTTAATTTTGAATTTTTCATTTGTTTTTTTCTTACCACTTTTTTAGATCTCAATTCATTTATGATTACAAGTGTTGTGTTCTTGTCCTTTACTCCTCCTAATTTTTCTCTTATCTTTCCTTATCCATGTTCCTTTGCTTTGCTTCACAACTCTAGTATATAAAAATTATAGTTCCCATTAGATAAAATGTTTTCAACATTCTCTAAAGATTCTTGGGCTATTGACTTTTTTAAAGAAAAGAATTATAAACCACCTCAGAAAGCTCCTCGCAGGAATATGTAGTGACAACAGGTTTTTTGAAACAAAAATAAAGTCTTAGTTATATAACATTTTCAAAGTTAGCCAGAGGAGAATGAATGGCAGAATATCACGATAGAAATTAGGCCACATGAGTTCCAATTTTGTCTGAGGCAAGTCACTTAACTCTGAGGGTCTCAGTTTCCTCATTTGGACAACAAGGAAGTTGGATAGTGAAGCTTGAAGGTCTTTTCCAGCCCCAGCATTCTGCAGTTCTAGACTCTAGTTAAGGCTGCCAGGAAACAACCATTTATTTGTGGCAAATGCCCCAGGGACCACTTCCTTATAATTCTGACACAGCACATATATTTATTGGCTACTTATAATACAACCAACATTGTTAAGTCACTATGTGTTTAAAAACACAGTATTAGATTAAATGTAAAAATGCCTTGAATTTTAAAAGCTACTATGATTATGTTTATCTTTTCTTTAGAATTCTTTAAAAAAATAAAAAATAATTTTTTTATAGTTGTACACGGACAGCATGTCTTTATTTTATTTGTTTCATTTTTATGTGGTGCTAATGATCAAAACCAGTGCCTCACACATGCTAGGCAAGTATTCTGCCTCTGAGATACAGCCCTAACCCCCCAAAATGTTTTTATTAGTGCCTTTCTGAAAAATTTTAATTCTCTGGATGAATGTGGGATGAAATGAGGAAGCATGCTACATAATTAATTTCCTACAATCAGGTAGAGAGCCATCTCAACAGAAAAGATCAAAACCCAACTTTTCAGTTCTATATAACATTTTGCTTTTGAAAACTGTGCCATCTTGTGAATGTGTGTATTCAGATGTGGAAGAGATAAGGATAAAATGAATGAACTAGGAAATGAGTTAGTTAATTATAAAAGATAGACTCAACTACTAAATATAAACGTAAAATAAAAAGTCAAATGGAACTGATGTAGTTGAAATGGCCTTATGTGAAAAAGAGAATTGAATTTAATCTCAAAGAGTGCTCAAGATTTGAACATAGGGAGAAGGGCATGGTTAAGGGTAGGTAGAGAGCACCATGGAAGAGCATTTATGTGATAACCAGAACAAAGTGGTTGTGGGTGATGGACTGAATGGGCCTTGTTTTTGACTGTAGTGGAACAGTTCTGGTGCATTGCAGTGAACACAAGATTATGGAGGGTTTTGGAAGTCATATAAAGAAGTCTGAATTTAGTTTCATAAGCAATAAAAAGAACACACTGTAGGGGAAAAAGACATTTTGAAGCAGTATTTAACAGAACTTGAAATAGCTGAATACAAAAAAAAAATGGGGTTTAAGGATGTCCTCATTTTTTGTTATTCAACTTTGAAATAGAGTTATTCAGTCCTTCCCTTATTGTGAAATGGAATTCTCCTGGGAAATGTCATAATATTATTCAATGGTAGCCCAGCCCAAAGGCGATATTACAGATACCTTCAGATATACTTGTGCCAGGTGTTTGCTTGCTTTTAGTATAATTGATTTGGAGTCGAGACTTCCTTTAAAGAAAAGCTTATTTATTATATCACTCTAAAGCAACAATTCTCAGGGTTTTGCAAAGTCAAAGCTATATTATAATAATTCTAGGGTATGATTTATCTTTTTCTTTCTTATTCTCTCATGAGGATACAAAAGAATTTACCAGAGCTACATTCTGTGTGACAGAGACTGAATGCAAAAAAGACTCCCTATGTCTTCTGTAACGCCAGACACTAAAGAGATTTGCAAAAGTGAAAACTGAAGCTATTCTTTCACAATGGGCTCCCTCTTGGAACACATAGCTATCTTTAATTTTAAAATGTCAATTATGATAGTGTAATATACTTACTATTATTTTAAGATAAATTAGTATGTAACTAATTTTTAAATTTCCAAGTTTTACTTTCTAATACAGTAAATTATAGTAAGGCAGTAAATAACCCAGGGAAACAAAAACTCCTGAGAGTTCTCAATAATTTTAAGAGAGCAGAGCGGGTAAGAGACCCAAAAGTTGGAGAATCTCTGCCCTAAGATGAAACTCTTTTAACAGTTTCTGCTCAAACTTTTCTTATTTCCTTGTTACTGATTGCCTTAGTGATGAGAAAGGACTTAAAACTCTTCTTGATAGCTTTTTATCAACTCTAATTGCCACGCTTGGATTTCTAAATAAAGAGGAATAATATTGCTTACCTGTACCAAATAGTTTTCTGAAAGAGGAAGTGATCTTGGAGGTTTGAGGTTGTTTTTATTTTCCTAAGACCGTGGAGACTGTAAAAGGTGACAGTCCCTTCAGTAGTTGGAGTGGACAGCCAGCAATGCAGATGGCACGGGAGAGCAAAACTCCTTGCTGTGGATCTGCATCCAGCAGTCCTGGGAAGCAAAGGGCCAAGGGCACTGGAAGGAATGAGGAAGAAGGTTCTGCAGGGGGAGGAGACTGCCCCTGGCACGCCTTGGACCCGCCTTCAAATACTGGCTCTTTCCTAGGGCAATAGAACTCAAAATGTTATAAAATAGGGTATTTCTTTCAATATAAAATCACTACCTAATGAAATAATTTCTTCTGTAAGAGCTGTCGTCCTTCCAAAACCTGTACTTCTTTCAGAAGTACACTGTGAAAGCATTTTAAGAAAGTTGCACTTACTTAGTCCAAAGAAGCATCTTCTTTTCTCACATCAGTCTCAGTTTTGAGTATTTCTGATCACAAAACTTCTTTCTTGTCTAATAGTGTAGAAGAATCAGTTATACTGGAGTAATTCCTAAAATATAATCATACCACCTAAAATACCCCTAAAATGTAATGGAAATTTTTTTTGATATAATATTTTGTATAATATTGCCTCCTTCCTTCCTTCTTTTCTCTTTATGACCTAATCCAGGACTTCTCCCTCCCAAGCTCAACATGATGTCAAAGAATAACTGATAGAGGTCATTATGATTTGCTTCTGAAGAAGAAGATTTGAAAAATAAAATTGCAGCTGTGCATAATCCCAGCTACTAGAGAGGTTGAGGCAGGAGAATCACAAGTTTGAGGCTAGCCTCAGCAATTTAGTGAGACCCCTGTCTCTAAATAAAAATAAAAAGGGCTGGGAATGTACATCTTAGTAGGGCATCCCTGGGTTCAATCCCTAGTACCTTAAATAAATAAATACAATTAAAAAATTAAAACATCTCCAATTTGTGATAACAAAAAGATTTACATAAATAGATAGAAGCAATCCATTTTTATAAAACTTCTCCTTTATTTGCCATTTCAGATGCAAACCACAACACATACCACCATTAGAATTTTATTAATTTTATTATTTTGTGCAACAAGCGAAATTTGCTCTGACACAAGAAAAATATTTATTTGTAGTTTCCAGTGCTAAAACTTTCTATTTCTGGAATAGTGCCAAAATTCCAAATGAAAATATTTGAAATATGATTTAGGGAGATGTCTCTTAGGGATTATATTCAGTTCTTTAAAAATAGTTTTCTACAACATAACTTTGAGGGGCTGGGGTTGTGGCTAAGAGGTAGAGCACTCGCTTAGCATGTGTGAGGTCCTGGGTTAGATCCTCATGCACCACATGAAAATAAATAAAATAAAGGTATTGTGTCCAACTACAACTAAAAACAAAAACAAAACCCCATAACTTTGAAGAGCTGAGTACGAACATTACAACCTTGAAAATAACAGAAACAAAAATGTTTTGTGGGGTACTGAGGATTGCACCTGGGATGCTTTATCACTGAGCTACATTTTTGGCCCATTCTATTTTGAAACAGGTGTCCCACTAAGTTGCTAAGACTGTCCTTAAAAAGCCTCTCGAATAGCTGGGCTTACAGGTGTGTGCCACTGCATCTGGCTGAAACAAAACTTCTTAAGCAATGTTTTATGAACTTGTGCTAAATAGTATTATTTTACTAGCAAGGAAAATTGGAACGTGTTTTTTTTTTTTTTTGGTCAGTATAGAAATGATACAAAAGGAGAGGAGTTCTAGAGTTGGGAAACAAAATAGGTACATAAGCAGTTATTCAGTGTGTGTGTGTATGTGTGTGTGTTTAACAAGATAGGGTTTGCATTTCCTAAATTCACAAAAACATCATGTCCACAGCAGTGATTATAAAGGAAGTCTGTGGCAGGGTGGTTAGAGGTCTTATTGTGGTGACTTTCAGAAAGGGAAAAAAAAACCCAAAAACATTTTTAAGAAGGATATATGCCTGAATTTGGAATAGCTAATTTTCATCCTCCAGTTGTATTGTCCATTTGGGTCAATTAACATGAAAGCATGAAGTAGGGTCAAGAAGTGATTAGAACAAAATAACAAAGACATTCTCATTTTAAATGACCTGTTGTCAGTGATTTTTTTTCTAGCTCCAAGATGTAGAATTTATTCATATCTAAGTTTTTTCCCCTTTGATATAGAGCAATCCAAATGTCTCAGTGTCCTGTGTACATGCATCTTTTTATTTTTTTATTTTATTATTTTTTTTATTGTTGGTCGTTCAAAACATTACACAGTTCTTAATACATCATCTTTCACAGTTTGATTCAAGTGGGTTATGAACTCCCAACTTTACCCCGTATACAAATTGCTGTATCACATCAGTTTACATTAAATGAGTCAACCATGATGGTCCTCCTTTGAACATTTCAAACCATTGGGTCAATATAACCCTCCACATTTTCTTGCTTATTCTTATCCATTATTTGTATCAATTTAGCTTGTGTTCTCTTATACAATGACGAGTTTTTAAAAATAAAATGAAATGTTATAGTATACTCTGAATTGGATAATGACAGCATATATACATTGGGCTTTTGGAATAATTTTTTTTTTGGAAATATTTTAGAACCATTTGTCACAGGATGAGAATTAGGCAGATAACCATCTATTTAGATAGCATACAATGTGAAGGCTGGGAGAGAAAATAGGTCAGAATTTCCCAGTCTCTTGAATTTAATGGACCATTAAAAATAACAGCAATAATGACAACGTAAAAGAGATAAACACTGAGTGGACAACTTTATATTTTACCAATTAAGGACATTAAAACATTTTAATATATTTACATCTTTATTTCATGAAAGGACACTTTATGTCACCCCCCTCAAAAGGAAGAGCAAATATTGTAATAAAGGCTAGTCTTTTAAAGTGAATACACTTGACTTTATAAAAACTTTCTCACTTTTCCCTTCATTTTACTATTGAAGGTAAATTTTCAACAGATTGCAATTAGTCCTCATACAATGACTGGGATTCTTTGAATACTATCAATAATTTCACCAAATCGTGGAGTTTAGTACTATCATGCAGCTTATATTTCGCAATATTAGCAAATCATCCCACTGTCTATTTTCCAGGGACTTACTTTAAACAGTTGGCTTTTTATAATCAGTAAAAAACATGTACATACAACTCTTTCAAATCTTGAAGAAAACATATTTAAATGCAAAGGGGAAAAAAAATGAAAAATGTGTATGTATTGAACATAGTTCCCTAAGGTGTAAGATTGTGTACCTACCTGTAAATTCATGGAGCTGTTATTGACCTTTGCCTTATGAAGTGATAATGCTGTTTTTTTCTTCCACACCAACTACCCAGGCATAAGGTTAGAATGTTTATCTGTGAAAGGGCAGGTCAAAGTCGCCATGTTAAAGCACCCAATGGGGCTAAACCACACGTGTGTGAGCTTATTACAAATAACTTTTGAAATTTGCTGCCAATTAAGTCAACTAAACTTACTGACCTATCCAGTAAGGAATTCTGTTAAAAGGTGGGATTCTGAAAAATTAGTTGCATCGGGACAACGTGATGGGAATGGAACCCATCACAGGGATGGGGAATTTATATTTAAATTCTTTTACACACAACACACACACACACACACACACACACACACACACAAAAGGACAATGTGACGGGAATGGAACCCATTCCAGGGTTAGGGAATTTATATTTAAATTCTTTTACACACAACCATACCCTCTCACATACACACATTTAAATTCTTTTACACAACACACCACACACAGCACACACAGCACACACACACACACACACACACTCAGATCCCGGTTCCACGAAGATTCCTGCGCCAGGCGAGCTGGAGCACGCCTCCTTCCCGAAGCCGCAAGAGGCCCCTCAGCCTCAAGAGAGGCCCAGGGGGCGTCACATGACCCGCGCGCTGACTGCTGGGAGCCAGGCCGCCTCGCGGAGTCTGCGCAGTCACGCGCGTCTGGCCTCACTGCTGTGCTTTTGCTGACGAGGAAGGTCCTGACGCCGCTTTGTAGACTGTTCTGTGGTGGGACTGGAGGGACGAGTTCGCCAGAGTGTGTGTCCTGAGTGGAAAGGAGACAGTGGGAGTGGATGGGAGCGGCTGTTCAGAGTCTTTAGTGGGGCGAAGCACAGGCTGGGAAGAAGGGCGGGAGGACAGGGGAGGCGAGAGCAGGCGGGAGAAATGGCCTGAAGAGCTAGAGTAGCGCTGAGAAGAAATAATTGAAGAAAACAGTTTTATACGGCATGGGTGGTAGTTGTTCGTAATAACCTAGTTTCCAACGCCTAAGGTTGCATAGCGCGGACAGTGGTGGTGACTGGTATTTGTCACAGGATGAGAACCCGCCTGTCCATCAGGCCTGAATTAGTTCAAGGCCTTAAGTTGTGACAGGAAGACAAACATTTTTTACAGAGACAGAAGTACCTAGTTTAAAAGTTTTTATTTGGCATACATGCACATTGTGTTACTTTGAGAAAGGAGGGGGGATGTAAAAGGAAAAGGGAACGTGGAGAGGGGAAGGGAGGGGATCAGTGCTTGGCTGCTGGCTTCTCTGACACATTTTCCAGCTCCCAAGGCAAAGTCGGCGCTGTTGTGCATGTGCAGTATTTTCTGTGTTACTATGATAGTACTTAAACTTATATACTATAAAGATATTAGCAGGGGTGTGGAAATACTATACTGAATTCACTAAACATTTTTCTATTTTTAAACTTTTTAATTGGTTCATAATAGTAACATAACATTAAGGTTTATTTTGACATAAATGCATAGAGTATAGTTTGCTCCAATTCAGTCCTCAGTATTTACCCCCCCTTCCTCTGTTCCTTTTCATCTACTCTACTGATCTCTATTTATTTACATTTCTTAAAAAAAATTTAGTGTCTTGTGGATATATATAATGAGGAGATTCATTGTATTGTATTCATATATGTACACTGGAAAGTTAGGTCAGATTTATTCCCCCGTTTTCCCTGTTATCCCATTCCTCCTCCCTTCCCCTCAATCCCTTTTCCTACTCACCTATCTTTCATTTTGATGGCATTCCCCACCTACTATTTTTTCCCCTCTCCCTCAACCCATTTTAGATTAGTTTCCAGAAATAATTCAACCCTGGACTTTCTGAGTCTGATTTATTTCACTTAGCATTATAGTCTCCAGTTCCATCCATTTACCAGCAAGTGACAGAATTTCATACTTTTTTCATGGCTGAGTAATACTCCATTGTACATATGCTACATTTTCTTTATCCATTCATCTATTAAAGGCCACCTAGGTTAATTACATGGTCTGGTTATTGTGAATTTAGCTGCTATAAACATTGATGTGGTTGATCTTTTGGGTATATATGAAGGAGTAGGATAGCTGGATCATATGATGGTTCTGTTCCTAGTTTTTTGAGGAGTCTGCATACTGCCTTCCAGAGTGACTGCACTAATTTGCAGTCCCATCAGCAATTTGTGAATGTACCTTTCTCCCCACATCCTCACCAACATTTCATAATTACCATTTTGACTGGAGTGAGATGAAATCTCAATGTGGTTTTGATTTACATTTCCCTAATTGTTAGAAATGTTGAACATTTTTCATATATTACAAATATCTTTCTTTACAAATTGGTTTTGCTCTTGTTGTTATATATGCATAGTAATGTGACTAATTAGATTCACTGTAATTGTCCAACTCAGCATAGTTTTTTTTTTTTTTAAAGTAACTTGATAACTTGAATGTAGATCACTCTACATCTCTAAGATGTAGAGACTACACTCTCAGGTTCCAACACTTTTTATTTAAGTTTAAACTTAGTATCACAAACTTCTAGAAAAAAATACCTTTAGAATTTAGGGAAAAGAAAAGAAAACCGACCAAAAACCAAAACCAAACATTTTATGGGAAAGCAATATGATGCTATAGTAAGATAAGATAGGACTATAGAAGCAACTTCAAACTAGAAGAGTTGTTTCTGGTCTGGCACAGGCTGACTTGTTTGAACTTGGTTAAACATCTCTGTTCCTGTTTTCTCAATTGTGGAAAAAAAAAGATATATTGAATAAGATAAACTGTAAGATCTGATGAACTGTAAGATCTACTTCAACATTAAGATTTTATGAAGTTAGAAGAATCCAAATGAGCTAGTCCTAAAACAAGATACAAATGCCAGAGACTAGTTTGGCTGCTGAGTGTATATAAAGGAAGAGTTGAGAATGATGAGAATAATAGGTTGGCTTCAGATGGTAGAGAACCTTGTATACTCATATATTAGAATTTGAACTTACCTTGAAGCAATGGATAGGGAAAGGTTTTTGAATGAAGGCAGTGTAGTAATCAAAGTCTTAAAAAAATCAAAGTCTTATCCTAAACAGTTGTTAGGATAAATTAGAGAAAGGGGAAATTAAATTTAAGTAAATGGTCAATTGTGAGACCCTAAATAAATAGCAGGAAAAGGAAGGGATTCAAGAGAACTGTGCATAAATTTGATACTGTTCTAAACTTACAGTTTTTGCCTCCAGAATATTATGGCAAATCATCTTGTAAAGCCTGATTCTAGAAATTGCAAGAGGACAAGAGAATTGGAGGTAAGCTGTGTGTTCCTAGAGTCTTAATCTTTTATTCTATTTTACATACTTCTTAAATTTCTTCCTTTTAAAAATGTGCCAATCATTGAGCACAGTGGTGCACACCTGTTATCCCAGCTACTCTGGAGGTTGAGGGCAGGAGGGTTGCAAGTTCAAGGCCAGTTTGGGCAATTTAGTGAAACTCTGTCTGAAAAAAAAAAGATTTAAAAAGGGGCTTAGTGGTAGAGCACCCTGGAGTTTAATCTCTAGTACCAAACAAACAAAACCCAAAAACAAAAACCAAAACAAAAACCCAAACTTTTGTTGTTAAATGGGATTTAATACATAATCCCAGAGCTACGATTGTCCCAGAAGGATCTATGTGGACTCCAGTTGCTTTTTCACTAATTATAGATCTCCAGGAAACTATTGGGAGACTTCTTTTTGCTAGTTTGTGATCTAGAGACAGAAGTGAGTCCAGACCTTTATGATATATAGGACTTTATGTAACTATTTTGCAATGATAAGTAAGATACCTAGGTACTGTAGTTATTAATCTTTTCAAAGAAAAGCTCTGTATTTAGTCCTTCATCACTGCCTTCACCAATTAATCTGTTGCATTTGGGACATTATTTGCTTCCTTGAAAATTATAATATGTTGCAAAATTTTTCAAGTATTTGGTTATTTTTCCAATAACAACCACTATATTTGTGTTAGCTTTTTGTCACTGTGACAAATACCTGAGAAAAATAATTTCTTAGGTTCTTAGTTTCATGGTTTTAGTTCATGGTCTGCTGGGCCTAAGGTGAGGTAGAACACATGATGGAAAGGTATGGTAGAAGAAAACTTGTCAATTTATGGCAACCAGGAAGCAGGGGGATGTAGGGGGTGGTGGGAGGGAAGGTCCAGGAACAAGATATTGACCCCAAGGCATGACTCCAGTGACCTGTTTCTTTCAATGATGCCCCACCTGCTTACAGTTCTCATCAACTCCAGTAGTCTATTCAGATGTCAATGGATTA